TTTTCAGTGAAGAGAAGAGGTGTTTCATGTGTGTTTCACATGTGCTTCTGTTGTGTAGACTTGTGAGTTTATTATGAATATGATCCAGAGCTATGGAAGACAATTAAGACTTCTGTATTCACTGCACAAGGAAACTCACTTTCCAGTGGGTTTGCAGGCCTGCAGGTACAGTAGCAGTAAGGTTTTTGACCAGAAATGGTGTCCACCTGATGATGTTACCTTCCCTGTAGGTTGAAGATACTGTCTATATTAACCCTGACCAACTCAGTATTGCACTAGCTTTGCTAGAGAGCAATCTGGAGAGCTGGGGATAAGCGACTTGTCCCCAAGCATACAGGAGACATTCATTCAGCCCCAGAACCTGGTGATCTATAGGTCCTGCTAGTCTGCCCTCAACCCTCAAAACAGCAGATCTGCATGTTGGTTTCAGTGTCTTGTGTTCATCTGTTGAATATTGTGGTTGGATTTCTGCCTTTCGTAGCTATTTTCTGAAGACTGATATGAATACAACCATCCTAGACAGAAGAACAGGAGAAACCTTTTAAAAAAAGCTCAGCTCTGACTCATGTGCTGATGAAAGACTCATGCAGTCATTGTGGAGAGCTGCAATAAAAAATTACGATGAAGGCAGCAGCAGGAGACAACTACAGACAACAGGCCAAGGGTAGAGATGTGCAAGGGAGAGGAAGAACTGCTGTTCCTTGTATTTCTCGCTGCTGTATTGTGCGGCAGTGAAAGCCAGCAGCTGCAATGGGGTCTGGTGATGCTTTTTACTTTCCCTGAGATTTTTTTTCAACTTGCTGTTTTAACAAGCCCACTGGATCATTACTGGTTCATTCAGTGACACCTTGACAGGCTGGAGAGGTGGGTGGGGAGAAATTTAACGAAATTCAACAATGACAAGTGTAGGGTGCTGCATCTGAGGAAGAGCAACCTCATGTACCAGTATAGGCTGGGGACTGACCTGTTTGGGAGTAGCACAGCGGAAAAGGACCTGGGGGTGTTGGTGGACAGCAGGATGACCATGAGCCAGCACTGTGCCCTTGTGGCCAAGAAGGCCAATGGCATCCTGGGGTGTATTAGAAGGGGGGGTGTTAGTAGGTCAAGAGAGGTTCTCCTTCCCCTCTACTCTGCCCTGGTGAGACCGCATTTGGAATATTGTGTCCAGTTCTGGGCCCCTCAGTTCAAGGACAGGGAATTCCTTGAAAGAGTCCAGCGCAGGGCCACAAAGATGACTGAGGGAGTGGAGCATCTCCCTTATGAGGAGCAGCTGAGGGAGCTGGGTCTCTTTAGCTTGGAGAAGAGGAGACTGAGGGGTGACCTCATTCATGTTTATAAATTTGTAATGGGTGAGTGTCAGGAGGAAGGTGCCAGGCTCTTCTCAGTGACAGCCAATGACAGGACAAGGGGCAGTGGGAGCAAGCTGCAGCATAGGAGGTTCAATCTGAATATGAGGAAAAGCTTTCTTACTGTGAGGGTGACAGAGCACTGGACCAGGCTGCCCAGAGGTTGTGGAGTCTCCTTCTCTGGAGACATTCAAAATCCACCTGGACGCGTTCCTGTGTGACCTAGTCTGGGTGTTCCGAGTTGGACTGGATGATCTTTCGAGGTCCCTTCCAACTCCTAAGATTCTGTGATTCTGTGAGAAATGTAGGTCACTTCACTGGATTAATTTATCTGTCTATAGTTTAGAATTGCTTAATGTGGGTGTGCTGGTTTTGCTAGGACTGAATTGTAGAATTCCCTTTTAGTGTTTCAGCAGTCCTCCCTTTAAATTAACACAAGTTAGTGTTGGAGCTTTGGCTGGGATGGAGTTGTTTTCCTTAGGAAGCTGATAAGTTTTTTGGAGTATTTTTTTTGTTTTGCTTTGTTTTCGTTTTCACTGGCAGATCTTGAAGATTTTCAAGGATTCGTCTGCACCTATGGTTACAGTTTCTTCTTTTCTTCTTTTTTTTTTTTCTTCTCTCTGCACAAAAGAAAGTGGGGGGAAGTGAAAGCCCAGGACTCTCTGGGTTAAGTGACCCAGGACAGATGATCCGTGTCTGATCCAAGCTGACCAATAAATATGTATTCTACCCCATAAACATCACACTCACTATAAATTGAAGAGCTTGCAGGGGACAGCCCCTTCAGCCCTTCCTGTTGCTTCTTTGATCCTGTCACTCCTTCATGATGGTGGCCCATCTTGGCTCCTGAGGCTCACTTCTCTCTCGTCACGTTCTCATTGGCATGCGGCCAGTGACTGCTGTTTGCGAGCTGAGTATAAATTTGATTGCTTTATTATTGTTGCTCCTATTCTTGTTACAATTAATTGGCATTATTATTATTTAAGTTTGGATTGTTCTAGTTATTAAATAGTCTTTATCTCGACTGATGAGTTCTTTATTTTTACTCTCCCAATTCTCTTTCCGCATCTCTTCAGGTAGCGGGAGGGGGGCGGTGGAGCAAGCGAACTGTGTGTGTTCATATGCTTGCCAGGTTAAACCATGACAATCGGTAAATCTAGTTTGCTCAGCTCCCACTCGGGAGAGAGGTTATAATAAAATGCTACTTAGAATCCCATCCCTTGCATGCATTTAGCCTGTTCTGGGGAAGGATGAGCCAACAGAAGCAATGCCAGTTGCAGCTGGTAATCACAGAGTTTTACTGATGCTGCTATCCATTCTGGTGCGTAAATTCCCTCATGATCCGTACTGAATGTTAAAAAAAAATGTGCTGCCATTTTAGTAATAAATACACATTAGTTGCAGTTTTTAAAGTGGCATTTAGAGCCTTTTGGATACCTACCAGACTGCATCAAACACACAGTAAAATGAAGAGCAGAGATGACAAAAGAAGCCACTTTTTGGCACTGTGGAAAATACAAGGTCTGATTGTATGTTCTTCTCTGGTCTTGCCTCATAACGGGGCATGGGGAGGGCTGTGGGGTACTTTGAGAATAACAAAATCATATGCCTGAAGATGGAGTAAACTCTAAGCTGGGAGCTTTGAGGTCAAGTCTGCGTGTGCCCTTCAAACCAGTTAGGAGAGTTGTACATGTGCTCCTGCCCAGTGCCTTGCCCTCCACTGCTTCCCGAATAAATAGATTTAAAAATTCAGGTTTGTAACGCTGAGTGGGACAGTTGTTGCCTCAGATTTTTGCTTGTGTGTGTAATCTCTGTTAGCAAGACTTTAGTGTCTATTTGGCCTTGTTGTTAGGGAACAACACACAGCCTGAACTAGGGCCTGATTATTAACGTACAAACTCACGTCCCATCCATAGCTCTTAAATACTTGTTAGCATATGCATATATGGCTGCTCCCCGATGGTTTCAAAGGAAGGTCAGCATTTCTTTTGGTCTGCTTCTGCTGGACATGTGTTTCCTGACTGATGCCTAACATCAGCCCTCCAGACTGCTTTGTCCACGACGTCTGCAGCAGACGTTGCTGTCCAGGAGAGACTGGCAAGCAGCACATCAGTTACAGCCTTGGTTGCTTTGATGATCGTGTCTCTGCCTTCTGATTGCTTTGGCCAAATGCTATCCACAGTAAAACTGGAATAACGGTGCAGCCATGAGAAGGAAACAGCATTGAACAAGGCTGAGTTTAAAATCTTTTATTATTTAGCCTTGCCAAACAGATAATGGAATCTGAAGTTGATTTGCTAAAGTATTTTAAAGTGGATGCCACCCCTGCCTGAGACAAAGAGGGCCTCAGTGGCAGCAGGGACCTTTAGGCTATGGCAGCAGTTCAAAAGAACACTTTTAATTTTGTATGCAACAATGTAAACTTCAAAAATAGTAAACTATAACCTTTCCCCCCCATTTTTACATAGCATGTGATCTATCACAGATAGAAATTTAATGGCGAACCAAAATCGCATAAGTAAACATCCTGGTGCTTACAAGTTTCATAAAAAGTGTTACATTTGATGTAAATATCTTACATTTTTAACTCTTTAACACTCACAATTATGGAGTAAAAGCAACTGGCGATTCACCCCCTTAGTCCGTGCTCTCAGACTGTACATCAGCAACCACGCTCTTGCCAGCCCCTTTGATCATTTTCGGTCGGATTGTCCCACACATGACCAAGACTTCCCCCTCCCCACACTGGTGTTAATCAAGTGCAGCTCCACACAGGTGTAAAACCTGTGCAAGTGAGAAGAGAACCAGGTCTCCTGCATGCAAACTTGCAGTCCCCTGGGCCCCGTGTTCCCACAGAAGCCACGACGCATATGGGGAGCACGTCCTGACGTCGGTGGGAATTTGGGGTCCCCTGGGGCTGCAGACCTGAGCCCTGCCATTGCAAAAGCCTCGCAGTGGGACCTGGTTCTGCATGGATAAAGACAAGAGTTGTGTAGAAGGCACTGGATTTCTCTTGCATGATTTTAAACGTGGACTACAGTCATGCGCAGAATAAGGAGATTTGGGCTTTAAACTGCTTTCTCTCTAGTGCTTTAGTGCAAGCATATTTAGCACTTGAATTTTCTCCTGGTTGCAGCGCAACATGCGCTCATCTACATAGAGTGATTTCCAAACCTCCTTCCTTCCACTGTTCCCCCCATCTTCCCCTCCCCAAAAAGATTCCCTTTTGGTTCTTTGAAAACTTTCAGAATACAGCTCTGGTCAAAAATAAACATGTGATGTAGCATAGCATTTGTTTCTTTTAATTCACAGTGTGCAATGCATCATTCGGTACCTAATGTTCAAAATGTCTGCCCTGCTTTTCATGAAAGTCATTCTTTAAAATAACCTATGCAAATATATTTTGACTATATATTACATTCATTTAAAAAGAGAAGAGAGGTTCTTGGTTTGCAGTTTTTTTCAGTGTACTACTTAAGTGAAAGGTCTGATGTGAAAAAAGTACAAGCAAACTGGACATGCCAAGACTCGATGCCTTAGATGGTGATCATATCAAAACTGTACAGGTATGTACACCGTGTTGGACAGGTGTGCTTCTTCCCAAGAAAAGACCTTTGCATCATCATATATAAGGTGAATGACAAAGTTTTGGTTAAAAGAGCATTTAATGAGCAAAGGATGACATGGAGGGGCGAGTTCTCCGGCTTTTGTTAGGCAGTCCTGAAGCGATATCCCCATTCCCTTCGGGGATTTCTTCCTTCTTCCGGACTTTGAGACGCGTGAGGAGCTTTATTACCCAGACATCCCATTCCTCTGGCAAAAGCAACAGGAGGAAGCCCAGGCCAATAATGATGATGGCGATTACCCGGACGCTGTTGAAGACAATTTCACTCGTGTAGTGATCAACAACTGTGTGGGACATTGAGCAGGTGTTATTACGTGGGTCAAAGCATTAGGGCAGTACCACCCCTTCCCTCCCTCTTGCCTCCCTGGCTCTGAAGGCTGGCTGGGGCTGGAGAACATGGCCATGGAGGAGATGGTGGCAGGTATTTAGCACATGGCAGAGTACGGCCCCCTTCAGAGCAGGCAGAGCTGGCCCATGGGCCCAGGGTACAAAAGGGGACGTTGCTGGAGCTGCAGTTGTTATCTGCAGAAGCATCATCTCCTGTTCTCACCAACACCACAGGAACTTCTGCTCAGGTCCAGGTATGCAGAGAAAGGGGCATTTCCCTTCCCCGGCACAGCAGCTCCTTCATGCAAATGTTTCTCCTCCCCGTGACTGCCCTGCTCAATAACAAACCCTGCACTTGCTGAGCTGTGCATGTGCACACCCTGGTGGGGATCACACTCTTTGGTACAGAAGTCTGTTGGGGCAGCCAGCGGTGCCTGGCTCTGCGTGTCTGTAGTCAGCACAAAGCTGGGAGCTGCTGCCTGCAGTGCAGCACCATTTCAGCACACTGGGTTTTAGGAGTTGAGTTTGGGAGAGGTGGCTCTGGTGGCTCTGGCCAGGTTTACCCCTACACTCCCCTGCCCAACCTCCTCAGGCTCTGCTGGCTCTTGGCCTTCACTAAAGTTCAGGAAACTAACAATGTACCAAGCCATGCCCAAAACTGAGTCATCCAGTGCTTTGGATAAACACCTGCAATGTTATTTAGCAAGGCAAGCAGAATTACTAGTACATATTTGCTCTAAAATATAAGCAGTTTTGTTTCAATTTAGTGTTAAGCCTGCCTTGAAGAAATCATTAAGAATTTATTTCTGCTTCATCCGAGTTTTCATCCCAGCCCAGCAATGGATTACTTCAGATCTACTTTGTTTTTCAGTATGCAGGCTTCTTCGGACAGTAACTTTAAAAGAAATTCTAGAGATTATGAATATTCATGTAACATTATACAATACATATTTAACACGTAAAGTATACATTTTTAATAAGTGTCATCTCCGTAAGTCTTTGAGAGAAGATGGAGAACATGTTTAATAAAAGTACTTGCTTTTATCCCTGTTGTGTATTTGAGAGACCACACATTTCACATGTTCATTAAGATGCAAAAGGCAGAATGTCTTACCTGCATTCACTGGGACACTCAGTACAATTCCAAGAGAAATCAAGGTGGGGTATGTAATAGCAATCCCAAAATTTAGTAGAATATTGAATGCTGAAGAAGGAAAGAAAAACACCTTTTACTACAGTGAAACTAGGCAGAGAGAATGTCACTTTATACATTTATGGTTTATTACTCCCTCTATATGTTGTTCAAATAGAAGGCATATTACTTCTGTTGTTATTCCTGGAAGACACCTGTGGACAGATGTCTGTCTGCTGCATGCTGAGACATTGCTGTTTGTGGGGAACTTGATATCCCATGGGAGTCCAGTGGCAGAATCAGGTGGGTACAACCTGTCCCTCAGTGTACTGTGCAGTCATTCCTACTCGACATCAATCCACCTTGCCCTGCTCAAGAACTGAACACTTCATCTGGGGGATTTCAGCAACACAGTTGCTTCTGACTGGATACTTTTTTTCATAGAAAAGCTGCCGCCAGCTGCAGGTGGAAGTTGCTGTAAATCTAACCCTCTTTCTGACATGAACTTGCTAAATACAATCTCAGAAAATAAAATTATAATATCATTACAACTGAATGATTATAATACCACTCCACTGTAATGCCATACATTGTTCAGAGAGCCATAGAATGGTTTGGGTTGGAAGAGACCTTAAAGATCATCCAGTCCAACCTCCTGCCATGGGCAAGGACACCTCCCACTAGACCAGGCTGCTCAAAGCCCCATCCAACTTGGCCTTGAACACTTCCAGGGAGGGAGCAGTTTCTCTGGGCAACCAGAGATCCACAGTTTCTGTGGGCAACCTGTTCCAGTGTCTCACCACCCTCACAGTAAAGAATTTCTTCCTAATATCTAATCCAAATTGACCCTCTTTCAGTTTAAAACTGTTACCCTTCATACTATTACTACACTCCTGATAAAGAGTCCCTCCCCACCTTACCTGTAGGTCTCCTTTAAGCATGGAGTATCTCATGACAAATTAATAATTGCTTTGACCAAATTCACCCTTGTTTTAAGGGGATTAGCTTTAGCAAAGTAAGGAGAGCCTTGCCAATACTGAACTTGTCAGCAGCTGGGGCTCTGATTGTCTTCTGGTAGTACCTACAGATTGCACACCCCAGTGACAGCTTGCCAAGTTCTGTGCCACATGCTTACAGAAACTTTTCATTGAGTCTGCAGATAAGTAAACTGAAGGTACTTCTAGAGTCAAGCATTGTGATTGTTCAGGGTAAAAGGAGCTGGGACGCACAGCCGGGATGGAGAGGGACTATTTCCAGTAGAAATGAAAGGAATGTTTTAGGAGATGTGATGCCATCATCCAGTTTAAGGACTAACTGTGGCAGCACACTCAACACATCTAGTTTAACAAGGAATAGCATCACATTTCTGATGACCATGAATCATTAAAGTTTGGATTTGGCATCCCTCCCAAGCTGGGTTCCCTTGGTGGCACAGCACTGGCAGCAGAATTGAGGAGTGCCACCTATCAAATTCCCACCAGTGCTATGCAGTGCTACATTTTCAAAAGTTTCCTACTCTTTAGGAATAGCAATTAGCTAAATTAGCTGTTATTGAAGTCAGCAGAGGCACTCGAGGCTGCCCTTGACTGGTCTGGCCTAACCTGCTTGCTCAGGGGATGCTGATGAGCCCAAGGTAATGCCCTGCTGGCAGGACTGCTTCCTGTCACAGCCCGGGCAAGTGTCATTTGTCTGTGTGAAGCAGAATTCATGAAGCAGCTCCCACCAGCAGCCAGTTTCTGGCACCTTCCTCCACACCAAGCAGTGCCCCAGCCTCCCCATCTACTCACTCAATAAAAGAATTGAAAATCCACAAAGGTTTCCCCAAGGAACGATGTCGAAAGAGCTCCAGTACTCCACTTTGGTAAAATAAAGGATGACAGGAATACAGGTAACGAAGAGGACATTGAAGACAGCTAACATGGACAGGAATAAGGCAGCTTCTCCAAATTTAGCACTGCCCAAAAGAAGCTTGAATAAAACCTACAAGAAGAAAACACACGGCTTTAACTCTTTTGCACAGCTCCTCTGGAGGGCTGGTGTTCTGGCTCCTGGCATCCTGGCCTGCTGGCCAGTGCCTGGGGCCGAGGGGCTGGGTGCTGAGTAGGGTCAGCTGCCAAATGAGCCCATGTGGGAAGGGGGACTCAGTATCTTTGGCTGTGCACCTCCTGAAAGGGAAGGTTGCTCACTTTAACCTAGACCATTTGTTCTCTTTTCTGCTTGCTCTCTTTGGGAAAAAAACCCCAGGAAAATTTGGCATTAAAAACAGAAGACTTGATGGAGCAGGGCAGGAGGAGGAGAGGAAGCAATGTGTGGAGATCTCCCTGTGTGAGACTTCACTGTTCCAGGTCCCTCTCCACCAGAGAAGATATCATGACTTGGAGGCTTTTCCCTCTCATCCTCATTCCCTTTGCTTTAACTGGCCTCTCCAACTGGGAAGGGTTTTTTTTTTTCCCTGTAGTGTGAATTTCTTCCTCCTGCTAGACATTGGATGGAGGAAGGCTGCAGAAACGGGGCACTGCCATGGCCTGAACAGGTTGCAGGATTTCAGGGTGATGGGCTTGTGAGTGCCTTGACCAGCACTGCACCATGCAGACCGTGGAGAAACTGTGGCTCAGAACTGAGGCTCCCTCTGACATTCCTGACTCTACCTCCCTGGTGGGATTATTAAAAGTTAGATTTGGACTGTAGGAAGAAGAAGAAGAAGAGGAGGAAATTAGAAATACTTTAAAAAGAAAAAAAAAGAAAAAGAAGTCTTCCCTTTAACAACCAGGTTCTCTTCTGGGATATCCCCACGGGCTAGGCTGTGCTGGACTGGGGTCTGCATCAGTTTTCCACCACAGAACTGCAGAGGATCTGGTGGATCCTGTGGGCCACGGGCTGCAAACCAGGAGAGCGGGTGGACTCTGACTGACTGATCTGTGTTGGGATGGCAGTCCACCTCGCTAGTGTCAGTTGTCTCTTCCCTTTGCCTAACTGGAGCCCCACAGGCACGTCTGCAGGGCCACCATGCTCACTGGGCTGCTGCCAACTCCCACCACTTCCCAGCCATCACTGGCCAGTGCAGTAGCATTGCCGCTCTGCATAATGGAGCAAAATGTGCCAAAAGACACTTGCTTCTTGTGTGCCACCCGAGGATGGCGCGTTGCCCATGGCAGGGTGGGCTGTCAGGACAGGCAGCCCGAAGTGCCTGTGTCTGGGGGATGAGGGCAGGTGAGGTCAACTCTGCTGCACATGGCTCATCTGCCTGCAGATCTGCTCTGTACATGACACAGCTCATCTGCCCACATATCTGCCTGCCCTTTCAGCACACGTAACTCATGGAAACTGAGCCAGACTGCGGAAAACGAGAGGAGCAGAGAGTGGCGGCAGCAGTGGCACAGTGGTGTTTGCTGCAGAACCAGCTGCACAGCTCCATCTATCCTTACACGTGGGGTGCAATTTGTGTTGGAGGACTGGTATGGTGGAATTCATTAGAGCAGATGGAGATGTCTACACCTCATCCCAGACTCAACATGCAAGTCAGGGTGTGTGAACCGTACCCTACGAGTGCTTACTCCTCTCTCTGCGCAGTGACTCTGAGACAAATGCACATAGGTGTCTCAGGCCAAGTGACACAGCTTTCTGCCCAGCAGAGAAGGCTGTGCATATATTACACATAGTGCAGTGTGCCCAGCTGGTCAAGATGAGACCTTGATCCATAGGCATGTGCTTTGGATTTTAAGCATATGATTATATCCACAGCAAGCAATACTTCAAGCCCAGCGCAGGCTATGTATGCCACTGAAGGAGGGCTGGCAAGGGGAGGTAACACAGTGACTTTTAAAAAAAGCTAAATTTCTGCAGGGCACTTCCAGAGTGAGTAATTAAATCCACCACCTATGAAAAAGCAGACTCATTTTTCAAGAGGGTGGGACATTTGTAAGTCCTCCTGTGGGCATTGGAGACAACTCTTCCCAGGAAGCAGCAGTTTTTATCCTAAATCAAAGCAAGCAAATACCTGAACCCAGTTTTGCAGAGTCAGTGTGTTTATGGCAGAGACCCTCAAAGAAGGGCACTGGGCACTGAACTGCATGAAGGTTTGCAAGTAAGACAGGAACAGTTAAAGTGAGTGATGGGGGTGATGGGCACCTTTTCGAGGGGGGAAGATCCAAGTGTACTTACCTTGTAGAGAGCAGACATTGAGGCAGAGCCCACCACCAGGGCTATCCCAATCACGGAGTGGCTGTGAAACCCATCAGCATACGTCATCATAACTATCCCTGCAATAGCAAATATAGCAGCCACGATCTGATTGGAGATAAAGAAAGAAAGCAAGTGTTACTGGACCACCCCCAACATGGGAAAAAAGGGAGAGCAGCTTTAGTTGAGCAGGCAGTACTTCTGCATCATCTGCTTATGTAGAAAATTAGTAGCAAGCCTAGGCTGGTACCCATGGAGCTGGGAAGCTACAAGCAGAGCTGTGAAGGAGTGGCTCCTTTGGGGGCTACATGGCAGGGCCAGATCGCAGGGCCCTGAGTCACTGACTGAGTTGAAGGGGGGATTTCTGCAGGTCTCTGCAGCCTGTGTGACAGTAACACATAAGCAATAATTACTTGGTGCTTGCAGGAAAGATTGCAAGTCCTGAGAAGGTTTTGGAGGAAAAAGGTTTTCGGAATAAACAGAAATCAAATTCATGCAACTACTTCTGTTCAGATATGTCATTTCAGAGAGTCAAGGGAGGCTTAGTTGGCCAGCCAGGGCCACAGCAAAGCCTGAGGGGGCTCGTCCAAAGGGAGGTAGCAGTCATGAAGGGATGGGACAGGTTGCCCTGTTTCAGCAGGGTCAGCAAGAGACCCCTGTCATCTCTGGGACTGTCCTGCCAGATGCCTCAAGCCTCCCCAGGTGGTAATTCTGGGGTGAAAAGGGCTTTCTGCACACTCCATGCTGATTTTTTATGACCAGCTCAGAGTGGAGCCCAGTGCAAGCTGCAGTGGCTGGGTGTGCATGCTGGAAATGTAAGGAGGCGCAGATACGGCATCTTGGCTTGCAGCCCTGTCAGCATCTAATCTCCCCATGCACAGCTGTGGTGAATAATTTCTGAGGCAAAGCTTGGTGGTGGTGTAACTGGGCCCTACAGTCCTTCACAGTCCTCTTTTTAAGGTAAGGGGAGGAAAAAAAAGCAATGCATGGCTCTACAGCAATGTGAGGCTCTTTCAGATAGGCAGGGCCAGCAGTGCCCAGCAGTTCTCTCATCTCAACATGCTGATGCTTGTGAAATAAAAAGTCAGACACTCTGTGGCTTCAGAGACACAAGAAAAAAGGTCATTGAATGAGACGAGCATGGGGCAGATGCAGTACAAAGAAAAAGAGAAATATGTCTTCACCCAAAATATAATTCAGCCAAGGAAAGCTTTGCTTTTGCACACTGTGGATGTGAAAAGTTTACAAGGACAAACTCACGGAAGAAAAAAAATCCATCAGGGACTACTAACTATAGGAATATCACTTCCATCTCAGAAGTCTTTGAGCCTCAAATTGCTGGAGGCTGGAAAATCTCATGAGGAAACATCATTATAGGCTTTTCCTGTTCAGATGATTTTTCTAGGTGTCCACTACAGGCAGCTGCTGGAGCCAGGCCCCTGAGGCAGATGCATCTTTACCCTGACTCAGTAGAGCTCTTTGTAGAGCTGCAAGATACACGGCTCGGGCTTTGCTGAAAGATAAGAGCAACTCCAGCCCTTCACATCCCCTGTGCTACAGCCCAGGTGACAGAGTGGTAGATGCAATGTTTCCTGTAGCATCTGCTCCAGGCATGACTGTCTCCCCTCTGAGATGCATGGGGCTTGTCCAGCCTTCACTTGAGCCACGGGGGAGACCACAGCCACACACCAGGCTGTGGCAGCCAGTCGGTACCTCCATGCATATTGGTGAAGAGAGCCTGCCTGAGCCCCCCACCAGTGGCAGCAGCACCACTGTGGTGGGAACTTGGAGGGTGTGTTAATGAACTGCAGAATAAAAAACATCCAGTCCTGCTTCCAGTGTCAGCGGCTGGCTGAATTCTGGGCACCTCCCCGGAGGCTGGGTCTCTGCCCAGTTGGAAAGGAAGACTACTCTTTGGGATTTGATAGTATATTTATTTCTGAGTCCCACTGGCAGGCACGCTTGTCTACACGTTGTGTACGCAGAAGGTACTTGCAAGTGATGGTTCTCTTGAATCCGGAATTGTTTTATTTGCTGTAGCACGGAGGGAAACACCAAAGTCCAAGATCAAACCAAATAAGTGCAGTCTTCAAACAGTCTTCCTGGGGCAGAAGTCCTTGCCTCTTCTATCAAGCATGTCATGAGTATCAGATGAGTCTTGGCCCCTCTTGCTGAGATGTCAGGTGTGTCACATACGCTTTCTCTGGAAGCCTTTCAGTCTGTCTATCAAGCACGCCATTAGCAGCAGTGACAGGCTGCTTGCACCACATCACGCCATGGCTACTGGCCTGCGGTCACCTGCAAATGCCTCAGCACTGCAGGGCTTGCAGAGGTGATGCTTCAGGCACTCACAACTCCATTAAGTGTGTGTCTTCTCTGAAAGCAATGCGACAGCTCACAGCCCAGTTGGACCTTTGCTCTGGGCACAGTGAAAGGAAAAGAAGAGAACTGCAGCTTCATTACAAGAGATGCAGGCACTTAACAAGTGCCTGAGCAGCAACGATGGGATTTTGTAGCTTGCTCTTACATTTAAATTCCAGCTAAATTCGGATTTAAGTGCTTGCAGAGCTACCAATTGCACTGCTGAAGGCCAAGTAGGGTACTTGCACGTGCTTAAACCCTACTGAGATGCTGCCTTTCTCATCTAGCCTCTCCTGCAGCAGGTGTACAGGGACACCCAAATGTGCGGTCAGAGCTTTGCTGCAGCATTATCCAGCCTGTTGCACTGCCGGGGGGATGGAGGGGGAGTGTGGGAGGGCTCCTGCTTGCCTCAGGGCAAGGCACTGTCGCCCCACAGCCTTTTCTGGCAAATATCCTCTCAAAGGGTGTTTCTAAAAGGGTCAGCAGCTCTGACACTGCGAGCTTTGGGCCTGGGCTGTGTGCTGGCTCGCAGTCCCTAGGGCACTCTCAAGGAAGCACCAGCAGCTGTCTCTCCTCCTGGATGCCAGTCCCAGGAAGAAGGCTTTGTTTTGGGGTTCATCCTGAGGCTACCACCAGCATGCCAGGCAGCGCCACCATCGTTGTCTCCTGTTTTTCACATGGGCTGCACAGAAAAGGGAGATAAAGGAGAAGAAAATGCATCTCTCTAGGAGGCTCCACACTACATCCCTCTGCAGATAGAAGTGTCTCTAGCACTCCCACGGTGGCAAACAAAGCTGGGTGGCAGGACCGCTGTGCTCCCCTATACTCTGCCAGTCTCTGGTCAAGCATCTCCTCACTCACATTTTGTCACTGGTCAGGATGCCATGTCTGCCCAAGAGCAAACAGCCCAGTTCTCCTGCAAGCCCCTGTCCCCTGCACTCAGGCCCCTTGCTGGCACTTCACCAGGGTGAGAGATGGCCATGTTCTTCCTTGGGCATGGAGGTGGCTTCTCAGGAAGCAACCCCTGTCACCCTTTCCCAGTGCCAGGTGACACAGTGAGGGGCTGGGACATGTGGCAGGAGCATCACACAGCCTCCATCACCCTGGCCCCTGCCCTGGGTCTCTGCTTCATTGCTGCTGGGTTTTGATAGGTTCAGCCTTTCCCAAGGCAGATCTTCCCTGCTCCCTCCACTCCTGTCCCTTTGAGAAGGGGGGAATCCGGATCATGGTTTGTCCGCCAGCACTTGCCATGGGACACAACCTAGCCTGGCCAGGAAGCTATTGGAGAGCCCCTCACCATGCTGGCTCTTCATGCATGACCATGAACCCAGGAGAGCGTGAGAAACATCTCTGCTCCAGTGTGTGCGTGCTGGTGTGGGTATCCCTGCACACAGGTCGGCTTTCTGTCCCTCAGACCTCAGCCATACCAAGCAAGGAGAGATGACGTGTGCATACCAAGGAGCAAGCTGCACAAGCAGGAGACCAGTCCTCCGCACACCTCCTGTCCTGGTGCCCCACCAGCACTACAGCTGACAGTGCCACAAGATCCCTGAGGATCACAAAAATATGTGGGGTCTTTTTCGACCTTTATCAAAATGGCCAGCATGTCCAGCTATGATAACAGTGATGCTTTTCTGCCTCCAGGATAATTTCAGGATACCCTTGCTTATGTACTCAAAAACCCCAGTTAATTTGTTTTCAGGGTATGGCTACCTGGGCAGGTGGGTGGGCAAGCGCAGACTCCAGCTGGCCAGGCTGGGCTTTTGACAGGTACATTCTGCAATGATTCCTGGAGCAGCCTCTTGGCTGCCGCCACAACAAGGCTGGCCAAGTTCTCTTGCCAGAGAGGAACACTTCCTGAAAAGTTTACTCTCAGTTACTCTATGAAGTGTGGACTAACCACTGAAAGCATCTCCCAGGTAGCTACATGGAGAGCTCCTCAAGTGGTGGGCAAAAAATTAATACCATTATTGCAGTTAATATTAATAAATGCCTGCTGGTGCAGCAACGCAGGAGGGACTCACTGGCACCTTTTCCTTGCAGTTACTCCTGATCCTGGCAGGACCCCTTTGGCCCCAGGGTGGTGGGTTACCCACCCACCTGCTCTGCTGCCAGAGGACTCTGCATGCTGGCAGCTGCCAAAATGGAAGCAGGGTAAGCAGGGAGCTGCAGGGGTTTCTGATAACCTTTCCCCACACACGGCTCTGTTGCCACTGTGTTCATGTGGGCTGTAGGACTAAGAGTGTCAGCAAACATTTGGGATGCCACCAGTTGAGTTGCCCTAGGGGAGCAGGGGACTGAGAGCTCTGGGAGCTCACAGGCTCCTGTGCAGGCTGCATCGAAGGATGTGTCCCAGCTCTGCAAGGATTTCTACACCCACTAAGGCATCTGCATGGGGTGCTGCTTGGCTCCACTGGTGGGAGAAAGGAAAGGCAGAAAGGTGAGAGGGAAGAAGGGAGATAGAGATAAGGAGTCACTTACCCTCACTCCCATGAACCTGTCCCTCAGAACAATCCATGAAAGCAAGAACACAAAAGCTTTGTTGCAGCAGAACAACACGGAGACATCCGTAGTGTTTATTTTCTTTATTGCATGTAAGTAAAGGTAGTTCGTGAGTGTCCAAAGAACACCAAAGGGTGCTGCCTTGGTAAAAAACACCTTCAAAGTCAAGCCATTTTCTCCAAAAAATCGGCAGCACTCCCTAAAACAAGGAGAGAAAGGCAGCATTATTACACAAGCCAGTCACAGTTTGCAGCAAATATAGGGCTTTATTTTCTTTCTTGCTCCTCTTCTTTTCCTTTGGGGAAAGAGGGACACATAACTTAAAGAGGAGGAGAAGAAAAACAAGTTTCAGCATCTGTTGCAAAGCGGTATGAAAGTGCAGGGGCTGCAAACACGGAAGGGACAGCAGTGGAAGAGCAAGGGGAGAGGTAAAGTCAGGTGGTGAAATTGCACCCTTGCCATGAGCACCTTTACAGCAGACATCTTGAAACAGCGTGGGGTCATCCTCCTGTAGGCACTGGGATGCTGAGAGGCCAGGGCGAGCAGCAAAGCCCTCTGCTCCCTGCTCCTGCTGCAGCCACAGGACCCTGATGCCCATCTGCGATCTGCTATGTAGGACTAGGAAGGAGTCTCAACGTGTGGGACCTAGCTCAAGCCCCCCAGCAACAGAAGGGGTAGGAGCAAGAGGAGGCTGCCCACTCCTGCTAGGGTGAGGACATGCGCCGGGACACGGCGTGGGGGCACCCAGGCCCATGCTGGGTCAGTCAGCACAGCAGCGTGGAGCCAGGAGCTGATGTGTGCAGTGAGGGCTGGGGATGCTGCAAATCCCCAAATGGGTAAGGCCCTGGTGCAGGAAGAGGAAATACTAAGGGTTTATTTGTGTCCTGGAGGTGCTGGTGGGCAAAAGGGGACAGGAGGGATTGGCTGCAGCCTGGCCCTGCCAGGATGGCTCTGGGGAGGCAGCGGGAGGGGGCTGGGATTGGGCTGCAGGGGTCACCACCGGGGAGAGGCTGCGAGGGGAGATCTGCAGACAACCACCTTCTGTCGGGCAGCAGAGCTGGAAGCTTCTGGCCCTGCCTGCAGGGAAATGTAGTAACACCAAGATGCAACACAGGGGTCTGTGAGGCGGGGGTGCAGCCTGCTGAGGTGTGCAGGTAGCAGGCAGTGGTGGTGCCAGAGCCTGTGCTGGCTTTCAAACCTGCAAAACCCCTGAGGCCTGGAAGTACTTTAATGAGGTGCTTTGGCAAAGTTTGAGCAAAATTAAATATACCTCTTACAATGAATGCCAAATAGGTTTTCACTCCTGCCTTGAATTTTAAGCCGTTTGCTTCCTGATACTGAGCATGTAAGGTGCATTATTTGTAGTCTGATGAAAGTGTGTTTTTGATCCACTTTCTCAGACAATGGAGCTGTTTCAGATGATTCCCTAAAGAAATGCATCCACACTCTGAGACTCTTCAGATTTCCCCATCACTAACTTCCCATCTGTCTAGGTCCCCCTCTGCTGTAGCAGGTACGAGGCTGCGGGGTAGAGGAAATGCATTTTCAGTGTTTGCTGGGTTTTGTCGCCTGCCAGTCTCTCATTCTGAGTCATGGCTGTGCAGAACTTGCCCATCTCCTGTGCAGAACTTGCCCATCTCTGGATGTGATGAACCTGGGCTTTGGCTGCTGTACACGGACACATTCACCTGAGCTGCTTGGGACGCAGGGAGTGCACGGAGATGGAGAAAGACATTGAAAAACCCAGTCCAGAACTTCACTAGCGGCTTAAACCTGCTTCCCAAGACTCCGGGGAGGGTTTGACTGCCAGGGTGTTGCAGGCAGACAGTCTAATGCTCTGAAGATAAAAATCGCAGGCACAGTTTAAATTAAATTAAGTAAGATTAGTATGAGAGAGACAGGAAGGCCGTAGTCAAATGAACAGACTAAAATGGAATTTATGTTGGGATTAATTCTAGGTAAAAATAGTTCCTCTTGCCAAAAAAATCTGTTCCCCACATACAGAACTGGGAATCACTGTTTCATATATAGTATAAATACATGCTTTTACTGTACTGTGGGCCTGAATCTTGTTTAGCAGATACCACTGGATCCATACAGTAACACAGCCTGGCACTTGCCCTCATCCCTGAAGCACTCAGTGTAGTGCTGTGATGCCCTAAAGGACAGCCTTACCCTGGCATGGATCAGGACCCGGAGCTGCATTTCTCCCATGGGAGTCTCCTCTCACTGGCCTATACAACAGAGCTTCCTTTTAGCTGTTTTGACTAGTTTCACCAAGTCTGAACTGCTTCTTGTAGGCCAGCTCCAGCTTCCAAAGGAGACCTCTTTATGGCAGAAGTTTCCTTATCCCAGCATGGGGTTGTAAGGGGGCTTCTTCCTGAGGTCACCCAGGACTCTGGAGGATGCTACCAGAACTGCACCCACACGCACAACAACTGCTGGAGACACTGCTGAACCACCAGCTCTTTGCAGAGATAGAAGATGGGTTAGATGGCTTTCTTGGACCCAGTATCTCCAGTGATATCTGAGGAGCACTAGGAAAAATGTGGTACGTTTCATGTGCCAGGATGACTACATACTGTACAATAACCCCCTCACAATTAATTGTCTCCCCAGGTTTGCTACTGCTTATTGAGAAAACTGATTGTTCCTTGGTGCCATAATGCAGCTTATGAAGGCACATCAGGAAGCATTTGATGAAGGGAGTTGTCAGTGAGTAACGGCAGATAAATAGTTATGGGAAGCAAGACAGGGCTGTGATATAACCCACACCATAATCCCAAAACAGTTGGGGGATGAAATCACTCCAGAAAAATCAACCTTCAACTTTAAGTATTTTTACAGAACATTTTGGACACAGTTGCTCCTTCTGTCCAGTTAATTACAGTTAATTTTGTATCCAGTGAGTGTCCTGATGTTTTATGGATACTCTTCGGCAAAACCAGACCTTGTGTCCTGTGGTGCTCCAGACATGCCTGACTGCACCAGCAGAGCCTGCCTATGAATTTATAACAATCATTGCATCTGCTAACAAAATGTTACTTTTTAAGAAAGACAAAAAACACCCTACCCAGAGGGCAGTCTGAAAGCATTCTGCGCCCTTTGGAGCCCAACTCAGCACTGCAGTTCCTCGTATAAGGCCTGATCCCAAGTATCCCAAAGCCACGGTACAGATGAGGAGCTGGGGGTCAGTTCCTTGAGGTTTTACGAGACAGAGTCTTGCAGGTCAACCCGCCAAAGGCAGGACACGGAGGGAGTCCTCTGCTTGCACCAGAGCAAGCTGCCTGACTCTGGGCTGGTGGGGAAGCACACCTCTCTGGCACCACCAGCCCCCTCCAGCTTTGACTGCTGAGGCCAGCAGTCAAGCTCTCTGATTTCCAGGATACAATAGAATTTCTATCTCAGTTTATCCAGGCTTCAGTGAGCCAGTCCTGCTGCACAGTAAGCTCTAGCTCATCTGGGGTGAAAAGGGAGGGCGCTACCAGATACCCCTGCAGACTCTTCTCTTTGTTGCGGTCATCTCTGGGACTAAATCCCTGCTGTTAGCTAACGTGGACAGAAGTGTCAGAGTTGTGCTTTGCAAAGAAAGCAAGCAGCCATCCTGTAAACGGGTGTTCCCCTGTGCTCCTGGTGCTTGTCCTCAGAGGGAGTCTTTCAGCAACTAGAGCTGAGCGGGGCTGTCGTGGTGTGCACACAACCAACCCCTGTTGGTCACAGTCCTCTGCAGGCTCCCTCTCCCTGCTCACACAGAGTATGCACTGCTGCCCATCATCCCTTAGGCTCGCTGGACAGCTTTCAAAGACCTCCTGGGCCATACACCTACAAGACAGAGAGACCTTGGCCTATCTTAAATAATGGCACAGTTAACAGCAAGCAACCTTATTTACTTATAGAGTGTGTATTTTTCATGTACCTCGAAGACATCCTGCAGGAGGAGGCTCTGAAGATGCTCTGGTAGTTCTCTGTGAGATGAATATGTATGCGTGTGTCTCTAATAACCTCATGGACTGCTGAGTCCCAGGGGACACAAAGTGGTAGTGGGGAGCTTCTGCCTACTGACCTTTAGGTATGTATAAGCAGCTTTTTATGTTTGAGCCAGGACCACAGGCTCTGTTTAGAATCACTGGCGATGCACGTACCTGAGCTGCCTTTGCTGCCTACCTCAGGAGGCACTGAGCCCAGGAAGAAGTTACTTCTATTCCTCTCCTTCAGCTCTAAAAGCGACCCCAAGGTGAGGAGCACAGACACAGGCACCTCCAGTGTGTGTCTGGCAGGAGAAATCCCATCCTCTGTGCTAAAAGAGAAATTGTCATCAAAGATTGACCAAACCTACTCCCACCTGCATTGCCAGAAATCCTGTGTCTTCTGGTCTCACCTACCACCTCAACCCAAAAGCCGCCCTGCTGCTCACTTGCTGATCCAGTTTCATTTGCTGGGCTCACTCTGCTTTGCCCATGGAGCAGTGGGATTTGGGTGTGGACAATGGCCAGAGAGGCCATAGGGAAATGCTGATGCAAAGCTCAGATGTGCCTTGGCCCTGTGCATCTCTGGGTCATGCCGAGCATGGCTCCTCCTGGGCAGGGAAGCCGCCCTGCAGATATCCTGCAGAGCCACCCTGCAGAGATGCTCTTTCTTCAACTCTGTGTAATCCTCCAGCATGAGGAGTAAATTCCTACAACTGCTGGGCTGTTTCTGGATAAGGTGGCAGCAGGGAGCTTTGGTGTTGCAGGGCATAATGCCGTATTTTTTGAGATAAACTAGCTTCCTGCATTATTTTCCTTGATTCTGCCTTCATGAGCTACAGCTCCATTGTAATCACAGCAGTTGGTTTAAAAACAAATGCAAGGTGTTAGGCAAGGCAACAGCAAAGGCCTGTGTAAGACCATAATGGAAACATCAAAGGAAGGATACTGGAATGGAAATGCACTGGCTTAATCACCACTGCAGCAATAAAGAAAAGCTTGGTCCCACTCAGAAGTGTCATATCCATGCTCATAGACAGTCTGAAGGCTCACGACTGAAAGAAAAGGTGGCATTACACTGCTGGGAGGAGGTCTACATGTGAACTGAGGGAACTGCAGCGTGGTTACACAGGGCCTTTGGAAAGTGTTTCCAGATAGATGTTACACAGTGGATGTGCTCATCAGGGGCTGTTGCTTAGGGGGCTGCAGCAGCAGGTATCTCTGCTGTGTACTA